TCTTTGCTTTATTTTTTTTCTTAAACGAGCAAAACACACGGCAGTACAGCGGAACGTAGGTCTCCTTTGACCGAGACGCTTCGATCGGCAGCCTGATCGTTATTTTCCTTTTTTTTATCTTTGTTTTTTTTTCTTTTTTTTATGAGGGTCATTTTTTTGATGGAAAAGCTCGTCGTGGGGCTTGAGAGTTTGATCATCGACGAGGATTTTTTGTAGGTAATTTTTCATTTCTTGGAACGAGGATTTAAGCAACTCTTTTATGCTTAATAGTAGAGTTATATATAAATAGTTTCTTCTGGAACTTTTTCGCTTTTCAAAGTAGAAAATATCTTCTGTGTATATCTCACTAATAGATTATATCTCAATGGGGTAGTTTTCGACCATTTTGCTATTTCAAGAATTTGCCTTAAAATATACAACAAAATTACTAATTTTTCCAATTGAATTTTTTAATTTTTACATGATTTTAAATTTAATTTTAAATTTAGTCTTAAATAATTGAAATTTTAAATTTGCCCGAAATTGTAGAATCTTTTAAATATTTTTTAAAATAATTTGTCTTCATTTTTATTTTACCGCAATATTTCCTATTTTCATAAAAATACTCTATTTATCCGAATTTATCGCAAAGTGCATTTCAAAATCCCATTCCAAGCTGTAGATAGCGACAATTTCGCAGAAAATGTTTCAGTAGCAAGCTCGCACGAGTCACTTTTCCACGTCGTTCAGAACAATTTGCAGGAAAGGTAGATATCGCCTGAGATACAGTCAAACATTTACCGCTAAGCTAATACGTATTTGAACGCGAATGAGAAACAAGAAAAAGGAGAGAAGAAGAAGGATCAAGAACGCAACGGAAGTTCAGCTTCAGGAGAAAATAGTTCGGATTTAAGAATCAAAAAAGGGGATCGTTCAGCACATTTATGATCATTCAATCACCACAGAATCACTCTCATGATACCTCGAATCGGTCGGATATCGAAAACGTTCCCTTTTCATTGATGGTTTCGGTTAAGGTACTTCAGTCAACCACGTGACTCGAGCATAAATGGCTGAAAATCGATACGGAAACCGAGCTGGTCCGTTAACTTTTCTGTAAGAAAGTTTGAATAAAGAAAAATTTCGAGCCGCTATACAATGCGGTTGCACTTGTACGAATTTAAATTTAACTCATTTATTCCAACCAGCTGTTTCGTGCATGAAAGTTGACCTTTCATAAATTTCTTACTTTTCATCAAATTTATATGAAACTATTTAAAAAATTATTTTACTGTACATTTTCATAAAAAGTTTAAATATTTTTCAAGTCAGTTGAAAAGTCACTCTGAAAGTGTCGAGAATCACCGAAGAAAAATAACGATTCAATTTACTTTTGACATATCTGCAGAATACAATACTTTTGTCGATGAATTCTCAAAACTTTCAGCGCGGGCGTTGTATGAGGCAGTCGCGCAACTCGGTTTCCGGTTAACTAAAACGGGTGGTTCGTTTTCAGTCTTCGAACTCTGATAGCAACGTTCGTTATCGTACGAAAATAAAGATTCGTCGAAGGTGAGTTCACACGGAAATCGCTCGATTGTATTGAGAAATCGGAACCGGATCGAGTTTTCCTCGCCCTTCGTTACTGCTAAACGCCCTTTTGAAACCTCGGACACCCTTAATTTGTACTTTAACATGAGGATATACCTGGTTGCCATGAGTAACGGGCTCGTACGACGCGTTCTGTGCTTGGCGAGTTTTGATATGTTCTCTATTTTTTATCGGTTTTCACGTATACAGCTTCGTACAATACATATTCATTCACCTTGAGCCTCTCCGTTTAGGAGTTCTTGTGTTCGATTAAAACGATAACGTTAACTTTAATTAAATGATATAGTTAAGAAAACGGTGTACAGATTTCACAATGTTAATTGTTAAGTGTGAGATCTTCTAATGGTGGGATGTTCCAATTGAGAGGCGTTAACGTTGTGGGCGTGTCCATCAAGGGGCGTTTCAATGGTAGGGCGTTACCGTAATGGGAGGTTCCAATAGTAAGGCGTTCCAATAGTGGGGCGTTTCCATAATGAGGTGTTCCAATTCTGGGCCAACCCATTGGCAAGATATTGTACTAGGATTTTTCATTGAAGGGACGCTCCAATAGTAAGATGTTTCCATGATGGAACGTTTCAATAGTGGAGCATTTTCATAATTAGGCGTTCCAACAGTAGGATGTTCCATAATAGGGCATGCCAATAGTAAAACGTTTTCACAACGGGCGTTCCAGCAGTAGAACTTGTCCATAATGGGTCGTTATAATAGTGAGACATTTCACTAATAGAACTTCCTACTGATGTGACATTCCAGTGATGAAATATTCCCACAGTGAGACGTTCCAATTATACAGTTCTCTAATAGTGAGACGTTTCAATAGTGGTGCAATCAACTGGTGGGAGGTCCTGCTAACAGGATCTTTCATTAATAGCACGTTCCAATGGTGTGTCGTTTCTATAATGAGGTGTTCCATTGGTGAGGTATTCCACTGATAGAACATCCTACCTCTTTTACTGACGTGATATCCCAGAGGTGGCACTCACGCAAGACATTCTAATAGTGGATCATTTTAATTGTACTATATTTTAATAGTAAGACGTTACAATAGTGATACAATCAGTTGCAATAGTGATACAGTCCACTCATAAAGGATCTTTAATCTGAATAGTTTAATTTCAATAGTGGACCGCTTCCATAATACAGCATTCCAACAGTGAGAATAGTGGGGCATTTCATTAGTTGAACGTCCCACTAACAGAATCTTTCACTGCAGTGTTTTATTAATAAGGCGTTCCTGGATATTCTAGTGCACTGTCTGTTTGATAAGGATCATTCAGTAGTAAGAAGTCCTACTGATAAGGTATTCTAATAGTGTAATGTTCTGTTGGTAGGGCGTTTTCACTAAGAAAGTTTTTACGAATAATCTATGGTGATACATTCCACAGAGATTTTCAGCTGATAAACATTTCAACGACAGAATATTTCAATCGTGAAGTGGCCCACCAGAAGAATTATCAGCCGATGTGCTTATAACAGACTCATCTCTGCAGTGAAGTGATTTAACATTGCAGTACTCCGATAGAGAGACGGAAGGAACATCTCATCAGTAGAAAGTTTTATCAGTAAATAACTTTACTAATGGATGGACCCAGCCATGGAACAGCTCACTAGTGTAAGGCCCAGTCAGAGGAAGCCCGCCAGTAAAATAGCTAGTGACACCAGTGAAACGCTCTATACTTGGAACGCCCCATCAGTAGGATGTCCTAATACTGTAACGCCCAGCCCATTATTGGAGCGCCTCACGATTGAAACGCAAGCTAATGACATCAGTGGAACATCGACAGAAAGTTCTGTCAGTAAACAATCTCACCAGCAGATGAACATCAATGAAATCTTCCACCAGTAAAAATCCAGTTAGAACGACCAAGTAGTGAAACGCCACATAATTGAAACGCCCCGTCAGTGGGATGTCCTATTATTGGAACGCCCCGCCAGCGGAACATTCCTTCAGTAGAAGGTCCTACTTGTAAGTAATCTTACCAACAGATAATCCTGTCGATGGAACATTCCAACAATAAAAGTCCCAGTTCCGCTAAATGACCCAACAGTAAAATGCTCTATAATTGGAACGCCCGTTGGTGGGACGTCCTATTATTGGAACGCCTTAAAATAGTAACAACCCATCAAAGGATAATTTTATCGGCAGAACGTCAGACCTTGAGAGATTTAATCGTCTTAAGGTTTTGCATGGTCTTAAACCTTGAAATGCACAAATGTTCAATTAATAACCGATATAAACGATTTCCATTTCTATTGAAAGTGTTCACTATTGGCTCACCATTAAAACGCCTCGTTCGAGGACGCACTGAATGGCTGAAATCATAGAAAGCTGACGTCAAGGATTTGAAATGGTGACGGACAATTTGAATGTAACCGAAAATTGGCACATATCACAGAACTATCTGTACAGATCGGGTCGCACGTGTAGCAATTCTGTCGGCTGAATCGACACATGTAGCCGTAGAACGTGACGGTTCATTCAACCGGAAGTTCTTCGTTCGAGTCACGTGTCTCGCCATCAGCACGGAACGCGTTCTTCAGACAAGCTCGTTTCAGAATCAATCCGCAGCCCTTGGTGTGGTATTCGAACACGGATCTGCCACGTTCGGGGCTGAATGCTGCTCCGAGAGACGATTCATCATTTACGTTCCCCTGAGTTTGATTTCAACGTGAACATATCACTCTCACTCCCTCGTTCTCACGTCACGCACTTGCGTCCATACATTCATCCGCACGTGTACCGGCACTCTTTCTGGCTTCTTTATTTTCTTCTCTCTCTCTGCGCGTGTTTACGAATTACGCGGGAAAAAGGGAGGAGAACTGTCTGCAAAATAGATGATGCGGGAGAACGGGGAGAATGCGAGCTGGGCGTTTCGAATCTTTTATCAGCCGGCGTTCGTCTGGCGAGCGGATTTTCTCTCGAGCGAGAGAGAACCTTTTCCCGGGACCTCTTTCATTCGGTTAAATGCGATCCCACGCGAAAAGGGGATGAAGGCTCAACGGGATCTTCCGTATTCGTGGACTACAATTCCGGAGAGTCCAGATCTGTATTATTAAGTACTAATCTGCTAGCCGGTCTCTGTTCGGGTCAGAATCGATGTTGCAGCTAGGTGATATTAATCGACATAATTTTGAATCCCGGGATACAAGTTTGAATTTATAGCATCGTTGAGCGAAAGGGAACAGAAATTTAAATGGATCACGTTTGAAATGGAGTTTTTGCGAGGTTACGTTTTTTCCCCGGAGAAAAGAGGGAAATTATCGAACGAAACCTTCATCCCATTCTACCTGTCGCTCGCAAGATGAAATACTCGCTGGCAACGAAACGAAAACCCTCGGTATGTGTCCGTGCACACGGAGAGCGTGTGTACCCGTACACATACATAAGAATATATCATATACATATCATATATATATTATATTTATATTTATATATATATAGGTGAATGTATAAAGAAGTAAACTCGTCAGACTTATGATTTTATGCATAGGTCAGAGGTTCGTCGTCAACAAAGGAATTAGCGTCCTCTTGCCCATCGCAAAATGGCATCTGCCAATACGTCAAGGTGAGCTTTCGTCTGTAACAAAGAAACAGAAACGTTTGCTTGTGATGTTTCGATTTAACATGAAATTGTATAAAAGGTCACAAATCAGCCTGAGGCGGCCTAAAATGTGCGTAATTATAGAGCAAAGTTTATATTTCATTTTATCATACGGAGTGTTCCAGTTTTTTTTACTTTAACTTTTAGATGTATTAAAATTAGAAATGATTATTCAAGAATTTTTAAATCTTCTTTAATTTATATTAAAAGAGGAAAGTTGATATTATACTGAATTACAGCACTGTCGAAGTAGGTGAAGTAAATCTTGAGCGAGAGGTGAGTCGAGGATTTTGAAATTTAAAAAATTGGAAATTTCACTATTTAGTAAAATGAAAATTTCAAAATTTGGTGATTTGGAACTGTGGAAATTTGAAGAAGTATGAATTTGGTGATTTGGGAATTTTCGAATTTGATAATGTTGTAACTAGGTAATTTGGAAATTTCATCATTTAGAAATTTAGTAGTTAGTGAATTACGAAATGTATATATTTGATCATTTAAAACTTTGGGAATTGGAAAATTTGGAAATGTGGTGCCTGGAAAATTTTTCATTGGGACACAGAAATTTGAAAAATTGGAAAATTGGTAATTTGGAAATTTGATAATTTAGAAATTGGAGTTTGGTAACTTAATTATTAGGCGATTTGGTTAGTTAATAATTTAGGAATTTTTGAAGTTTCATAATTTCATAATCTGGAATTTAATAATCTGAAATTTTTGAAATTTCATTTCATAATTTGGTAATTTGGTAATTTGGTAATTTGGTAATATGGCAATTAGGAAATTATGAAGCCTAGAAATTAAAAAATTTAAATTTGGTAGATTTCGGTAAAATATTAAATAAATAATAGCTTTTTTTATCTGGATTCGTCAAAATCACACAATTTGAAAAAAAAAATAATAGCTACACCCTCTAGTCCTCAAGATATTCAAAAAACATTTTCAGCCCCAAACTTTACGGCCGATTACCATCCCTTTAAACCACACGGTCGTCGATGAAAGAAAATACGTGAGAAATATTTCTTTGAAAACTATATCTCAGATAAGTTTCATCGAAGACGTGACCAGGTTGGATATATTCCCTTGTCAGACATTCTTCATGCAATTCGCGAATAGAACGAAGATTCTGTGAGAAAGAAGAAAAATACAGATGTTAACCCAGCGCGTGAGGAAGTTGACCCAAAGTAAAAGATGTTATCTATCCATCCGTGAACATTTCTAGTGTTACATTTCGGCAAATAAGAATAATGACAATAATAACAGTAACAACTGCATTAATTCGTACTATCTCACGCTCGAGATATGACTATTATTGTTTTTGGCCTAATTGGTCTGCGGTAGCTCGAGGCAATACTACCGCCGAAATTACATGTGAGTCTAAGCGTCCATTTTTCTGTTCTGACCAATTTGTAGAACTGTAATTCTTCTCAACACCTAGATCAACTTCATGTGCCAACGTGGCTTGATATCGGTATATTTTTATGACTCTGTAAATTCTGTTTTTCTAATATGTTTATTCTAGGTTACGTGTGCGAATATGAGTTCGAATGCGCGGTGCTGACTTCGTTAACCTCTTAGGCATGACTGAAGTTTACACGGCGCTACTTCTGTACGGCAGAGTTCGGTCGTTTATGACATATTTTATTTTAAAATGTTTATAATTATAAGTTAGCAGTGGCAGCTGAACTTAGGGGGGTGCTCCAGAAAATTTCCCCCTATTTTAAAATTGTGTGAAAGTAAACAAATATGTATGAAAAGAAAATTTATTCAGAAACTTGATAAAATCCTAAAAGAACCAATTAATACATTTTACTTACTATGTTATCGATAACTTCAAGTGTAAATAGGGTGCTGCAGTTCTATAGTGCATATATGCGAGCCGCCATTGTAATTGACGAATTAAAATAATTTTTATATCAAATTTATAATATAAGATACTCAAAGTTTCTACTATACTATGCAGGACAATCATTTGTTATGTTGCATATTCAAAACACTTTTCGGTCAAAATAAAAATTCGTATAGTATCGTTACTATTAATCTTTTAGGCACGGCTGAAATTTACGCGCCCCTTCTCTGTACGGCAGACTTCGACGCGAATTACGCGTAAACAGCACTACAATGTGTGACAATGCTATTCTCTACGCGAGTACATTGGAATGAAGTTTTTGATGATTAAATTATAATTTTTCCCAAAGATATAATATGCTTTAACTTTGATAATTTACTTTTTTAGAAAATTCACAAAATATGTAATTTCCAAATGTTTCCAATGTCGTATTAGTGCAAAGAGGTGCTTCCATAGTTCTTAAACTTGGCGTTACCTTTTATTTATATGTAACGTACTTTTGTGGGATTTGTTAATACTCTTATGCAATGTGGTGAAGGCAAATAAGTGCGAATCAAAACATATGAAAGGATCATTCAATTGGAACGGTGAGCGAGTGAGCTAGTAGAGTGAGCCACTATGGCGGTATGTAATCTACGATGCATTCGCGAAAGCCAATGGGCCGTTATACAAAGAGAATAGCCGCGAAAGCCATAGTGGTGCGTAAGAGGTTAACGCTGCTATCAAATCTCTACATTCCCAAATACCTACAATTCTGAATTCCTATTGTCTCAAATTGTTACATTCTCAAATTGCTATATCCCCAAATTCCCAGGTTCCCAAATACTAAAGTATTGAAACTCCTACATTCCAAAATCTGTATATGTATGAATTCCTATATTCCCAAATCTCTGAATTCCCAAATACCTAGATTTACAAATCTCTACATTCCAAATCTCTATGGTCCAAATCCCAACTTTCCCAAATTTTTACAATTCCGAATTCCTATATCCTAAATCCCTACATTCCAAAATCCTTTCATTCCGAAATTTTTACATTCTCAAATCTTTAACATCATCAAAAGCCAAGAGTCGCGAATTACTAAATCCTGAAATCCTCAAATTCTTAGATTCCGAAATAGCTAGAATTCCAAATTTCTGAATCCCTAAATCGCTACACTTTCACAACATCAAATTGTGAAATTCTCAACAATTTGTAATAGAAAACAGTTTCTTTCCTTTCTTGCCTCCTTCCAACGATAGACCTGATACGTCAGCAAGAAACCCAAAAATTCGACTACCTACGGACAAGAATACTGGCCCCAGTACTTTGTATCAGTAATAAACACAATGTAGACGTTCTCTAAGAGCTACTTAGTGTTCGAAGAACACTAACTAGGCTCCGAAGACTCTGCAGAAATTGCGAAAAATTGGGAAACTTAAAACTAGATAAGATAAAAACCACAAAAAAAGAAGCTTAGAAAACATAAAAGATATAGACAAGAGGGTAGCAAATATCAGATCCAAAGTATCAAGGCTGATTAGGTGAGCCGGTTTCGGCAACCACTGAACGAGATATCTCGACAGGGTGGTTCGAGTGGCTGTGCTCGCCCAACCGGAAGGAAAAGAAGCGAATATCGATTTCAAAGAGGTGGCAGGCCGGGTCTGGAATCAGCCGGAGAGAAAGGTCAACAGTTCGCCGGATGTGAAGAATGATAAATCCGCGAGAGGGCGAGACGGGGCTCAGATTTCCCTCTGGTCGTAGGTGTTTCTTTTCTCTCGTCTTTTTTTTTTATTACCATCCTTCTTTCATACTTTTCCTTCTTGTTCGGCGGCTTTTTCCTACCGACGTTAAAGCGCGTACAAGGTATTTCTGGGAAATGGTCCCTTTAAGGGAGGCGATAAAATCGTGCGGAAAGGGCGTTATAACATGAACGAGGGGAAAATGCGTATTGCTCGACGTTCAAATGTAGAGTGGAGTTATTTAAAATGCTGAACGCGGCTGTCGTGTTTTATTTCCCTCGGCTTATTTCAACGGGGAAGCCGATGACTGCGGCTGGGCTTTCGTTCTTTTACAGTGACGGAACTTTCGTTCGGTGAAATAGGACTGGCATTTGCGGCTTTGGATTATGATTTGTTGGAAAGTTTAATAGTTGCGGATTTGGAGGAAATTAATTGGCTGAATCGGGAGATTTGGAGATACGGTGATTTATGAATGTGGGTATTATGGAAATACGTTGCAAATTCTGGGATTTGAGGATTTTTGGATTCACATGTTGAATAATATGTGAGATTGAAAATTTGAAAATTTGGGAGATTTGGAGGTACGGTGATTTATGAATGTGGGTATTATGGAAATACGTTGCGAATTCTGGGATTTGAGGACTTTTGGATTCATATATTGAACAATATGTGAGATTGAAAATTTGACAATTTGGATATTTGGAGATTCGGTGATTTGAAAATTTGGGGATTTAAGGATTTTTGGACTTACAAATTGACAATGTGAGATTGAAAATTACAAAATTTGAGAATTGGGTGATTTGGTAATTTGAGAATTTGGGAATTATGGAATTGTGGATGCTGGAAATTTGGAAATTATGGAATTGTGAATGCTAAAAATGTGGAGATATCAGGATATTTGGATTTATAAATATTTGACAATAGAAAAAGCCGAAAATAAAGAATTTGGGAATATGGAGATTTGCAGATTTTAGAATAAATGTGAGGATGTAGGAATTTGTGATTTATAGAATTGGAGAATTAGGGATATGAATATTTAAAAATTTACCAATTCCCAGGTTTAGAAATTTAGTAGATTTGAATTTGAAGTTTTGAAAATTTGAGAAGCTGAAAGTTAGAAAAATTTGGATTTAGAGATTTGCTACTTTGCATAACACAAACTTGGTAATTTGAAATATGAGAATTTGAAAATTTGGCAATTTAGAAATTTGTAATTTTGTAATTTTGTAATTTTGTAATTTTGTAATTTTGTAATTTTGCAATTTTGCAATTTTGTAATTCCATAACTTTGTAATTTTCTTAGTTTGCAAAGTGTAATTTTGTAACTTTGTAAGTTTGTAATTTTACAACCCCGGAAAGTAAAAGGTTTGAAATATAAAAATTTGAAATGTTCACATTAAGAAACCAGGATACTTAAAAATTATGATATTATTATATCTAAATCCGATTTCATACATCACAAGATTTGCAAATCTGGTAATTCAAAGTACTAAACATTTTGAATTTTGACAATTTATATACCTACTAAAGTATACCAAAAATGATCATAATCATCGATTTCCACTGTGATAGCCAACATACAAAAACAATATAATCATCCAATCTTCAATAAAGAAACGTTCCTTTTGAAATTTACAAATAGCTGGGTAAAAATTTCCAAAAAGGAAATAAAGATAGTTGTAAAGTACCTCATAAATTGTAACAAGTATTCGAAAACCCTTATCACAATATTTTATCGTTTGAATCAGTTTTTTCCTTCGGGAGAAGAGGTTCCAGTTGTAAAACCAAAAAGAAATTGTTTCTTTATCTTCTTTTTCACTTCAGAAAAAGTTTCTCAACTTGTATCTTTGCTTCGTTGTTTTTCACGCTTAGTAGCAAAGGGAAAAGGGAAGAATTAAAGAGACACTTAGCTTTTTTTAGAGATTTACACTCTCGTCAGTGTGTAAATTGAGATTCCCAACCCGGGAGATTAGTTCTCCCTGTGGCTTTCGAGTATTTGCGAGCTTGAGGGGATGGTGAATGTCGCAGAACAGAGGGAATTGAGCGTGAAATTAGTCTAACATTACGGTGAATACTTTCTTGCTGTATATTCATCCACCATGAATTGTATTATCTCGTAGGATTCATGGGATGACGCGAATTTATAGAGCACGAAAGATTAGGGTACCTCAAAAAATTTTGTTTTCGATCTTACCCTCTAAGTTAGTATATGGTGTAAATCCCCTCAAAATTTCAGCTAAATAATTTTAATTTAACAAATCGCTCAATGCAATTTAGTATACATAATAAAATTAAAAATAAAATTTCTTGACCACTTTTTATTTATTTAAAACTATTTATTTGTCAATAGTTATTTTTTGTATTGACCAATTATAGGTATTCCATCTAATTTATAATATAAATATACTTTTATGTATTTAAGTTCTAGAATTTTTTTTCTGGTCTATAATCATTTTTATTATATGATGGATATTCTTTAGGATGTTATTGCGCTACTTGTAATAAATATTACAACTTACCCTCCTTTTTAGTTAAATATTTATTAAATTCTTCTGTCAATGCTCCTCACTCTGCCTCATCATTAACAATTTGCTAACTTCTCAATATTTCTTGACAATTCTTATAATTTTCGTTTAAAATCCTTAAATCAGGAAGTAAATTAAGGAAATCATGGTAATTCGAACTGTTCAAATAAAATTAATGATTTCTTTATCATAAAGCAATTAAGATCTTTTGTAGATAATGAATGAATATTGTTTAACAGCAAGTTACATCAAAACTTTGAATAATAATCGGATAAGTTCACTTTTATCAAACACTATTCTTAATTAACATTACTTATTATTTATTGATTTCTCAACTATGCAAATTCGGTTAAGTTAAGCGATTGACATTGCTGAGATTTAATACTAACATCTGATTTTGTGCAATTTTATCATAAAAACACCTGTAATCGCTTAAATTGTAGATAAAAGTCGGTATAATTAAAAATCAATATAAGGATAGAAAATTTTTAGAAAGTGAGATCGAAAAAAAAATACTCTTTGAATCACCCTCCTGAAAGATATTCTTGCACGTAAGCGAAGAGAAGAATTTTCGGCTTAGAAATTCTTGCAAGAATTGTTCTCCTAAAGAAATGTTAGAGCAGCTGCTTTTTTACGATTTATTGCTTATCTTGATAATTTGAGGAATGAAAATCTCTGTATCTTTTCTTTAAAAAATTCTGTTACAGCAACAACGTTGTAACTAGATTGTGTTTACATTTAGTATGGCGTTGTTATACCGAGTAATAATCTTGTTCATATCGGGACATGTATGAGAAATGATTAAAAAGACTGATACGAAAATATTTTGCATAAATATCTAATATAACAAAAGTTTTAAGAATGTAAAATATGTGTAGGTTATAAAATAGAAAATAGTCCCTAAAGAACCAAACAGTTATCCTATAAATTACCATAAGACAGATAACGATAGCTTATCCTATAAGTTATCAATTTGCATAAGTTATAATTAAGAATCAAAATAAATGTTTTCTTAACTAAAATTACTTAAAAAATAAATTTTGATCTTTAGCTACACGCGATTTAATCGAATTAAAATTTAAAGTTCAGTTTAATTTAGATTAAATTAAAATGTAATTAAATTTGAATTCAATTGAATTGAATTTAACCCAAAGTGAATTGAACTTTGAACTTACCTAAACTAAAGTAAGCTTAATGAAATTCAACTATACTTAATTAAATTAAAATTTGAATTAAAATTAAAATTAAAAATAAAATTAATCTTAATTTATTTTAATTTTTATTCGTAACAAGAAGTCTCAAATAACGACTGAAAATTAATCGTTCATTGATAAAGTCCTCCATTAAGATTAACTTTTGTCTTCAACCCCTGTTGTATCATTTAATTGTCAGATGCATTAATCAGAACTAATCTATCACTGCTACAATACCAGAACAAATAAAAAGAATGTAAATGTTATGCCTATTTTATATTCAGTAATTCTTGACTACGCAAATTATAGTCAGACATAAACTTGAATCTAAAACGTAATTAAAATTCGAGCAAGATTTATCATATTTTAATTGAGTACCTCGCGGACAGCTTCATTAAACTATGAAAACGGGGTTAAATTCGATAGCTGGGAGTTAAAAATTAATATCTTTTATAAGAAGGTTGTTCAGGTAAAATTGATCAATTAGAATAATTAAAAGAAATGGAACATTCATAGACTTTTTTATGCGAACAAATATGTAAAAATAATTGAAGTATAAATATATAAGTAATACAAGTATATGTACAAGAATAACTGATGTATAAGTCTATGTATAACTATGGAAGATTAACTAAAATATAAAGAATATATATAAAAATATAAATAAATAAATAAATAAAAATATGTGCATACATAATACATATACAATAAATAAATAAATATATATGGTATGATTAGGTTAAGCATATTATATATATATACCTAACCTAACCATATGTATATTGTATATATGTATATATGTATATAAACATTTTATAAGAATATAAATAATACAAGAATAATTAAAGTACAAAAGTATAAGTATATAAAAGTAAACAAAATATAAGTATATAAGAATACCTTTACCGAAATAAATAACTGCATCAAAAATAAAATTCTTCAGCTAAATAAAACGTGTGGAATGTACTCCCGTCAGAGCTAAGAAAGGATAAGGAAGCGAAAGCTCCGTGTAAAAATGGTAGTAGATTGTAGGTTACTGATTGAGTTATTTAGGGACTACTTTATCAAACCAGAGGATTGATTAGAGACTTACAGTTTTGTAAAACATGCAGGCTTGCCTGTCCTCGTCTTCGCCCGTAGGGCAGTCTATAAAACCGTCGCACAAGGCGTGATCGTCGATGCAGTGATATCTACCCATTCTGTCTGCAGTGGGACACGCAAACCTTTCCATCCCGTCTTCTGAGATTGGACATTCTGTAAAAAAAAAGGAGTACAAGATTTTAATCATTGTTTTCCATTGTCAAGAATATTTTTGTTCGGAAGAAATAATAAACGAATCCGATTTTCACAAAATCGATTTCGTTTATTGTATTTTCGGATGATTTGAGACGATATCTTGAGAAGATATCTTCGAAAGAGCCGTTTATTTTAAATGTAGAACAAGTTCATTATCATCGCGAGATTAAAAGTTTGCATTTCGATAAATTTAAAAATATTAGTTAACACTAATAGACAAATTTTGGTTTGTGGTACTAGAGAATGTATGTTTATTATGCATTAATATTTAATAGTGTTTAATAGCGTTCAATAGTTCCTAGCTAAAAACAAAATAATGGTAAGTGCAGTTGCATTACTTTCAAAATTAATGAATTATTGTAATTGTTAATTGTTAATTAATAGTTATGTAAATTAATCAATAATGATTGTTCTATTATTTTTTTTCTTAATTTCTTCAAATCATTTTGATCAGAGTTGTCTTCATATCCAAATCCAGATTTCAGGATTTTTATTTTATTACCAATTCTTGTAAATCTCATTGCTAAAAACATAATAAAAATATTAAAATTCCTCGGAATAGGGGATTTTATTGTATACCGGCGTAATTATCCAGAAAAGGAATTTGTTTTTCTTATTATTACCTGCCAGCGTCACTTTTAGATCACAGTTATAATTCTTGTTGAAATCGCTGAGTATTTCTTTTTAATAAAATAAACCACTGTACATAATTAATTTACAAATAACAGAGAAGTTGTTAAGGGGTTTTGTGCACCGATACTGAAACAAGAACCGTGCGAACTTTGTCGAGTATTAATTAGAAACTGAACTAGAACCTGCAAGCTGATAATAGAATGATACCTAGACAGACTAGGAGATCCTCGCTCATGTTGAGGTTATGCCAATATTCTACAATTTGTAGTTTTTGACAGTATTGTTCGTATTACCAAAGTTTACCGGAGCTAAATCATACCGTAACATTTGAATTTCAATTATTTTCTTCAAATTGTTTACAGATGAAAATATCACATTAAATTTTATAAATTATCTTCATTTGTTTCAAAAATGGACTTGCACTTTCAAAATAAACGGTTCATTTCATGCTCAACGTGAGAAGATGTTATCCGAATCTGTCGCAAGAGTGCGCATCTTTTACTTTCTTTTGTTTCGGACGATCTTGTAACGCAATTTACGCAATGTTCGACTGCAATAAACACGTGCACGTTAGGAACGTAAAGTGTTGACATGAAAGCGTTAGAAACATCTGATGTTACGTTGGACATGTACATAACGTTTTTCTGTTCGATTATAGTGATTTAAACCGTCATACTCGACTTCGAAACAACGAAAAAGTTATAACGATTATAAAAGAGCGATACGTGGGAGAATGGTGCATCGTTACGCGATACTGTGAACAAGCTTTTCTCGGAACCATGTTTCTCAAATAACGAGTTGACCGACTTTCAAATTTTTTACTGGCATATAAAGTACACGTCACTTGATTTTGTGAAATAGGATTATGTGAATATCGTCGATATGTTTTCCTTTCTTTTCGTCGAAGAAGTTTCAAGTTTTATGTATACCGAATTTTATGACCGTGACTTCCGTAAAAATAACATTTCTGTCATATTATTCTTGTTCAAAAAATAAAAATGATTTATTATATTATGTTAGTTTATAAAATAGCCACTTTCATATACATTAAATTAATGTATGTGTTTTTTTTCTTTAAGTGAAAAATAGGTGAAATTTATTTTAAAATATAATCAAATATGTCTGTAAAGTTTAAAATTTTTAAATAATAATAATATAGTTTATATGACAGCTTTGATTGGGGACATTTTTAATATTTTTTATCACGATGTGTGTTTATTTATTATTTCATACTGTTAAAATTCCGTATTAATATTTTTAAATTATACAGTCTCATTAATTCTTTATTTTGTGATTTCAAAGGTTTGAGAATGTTATACTTTGTTTTATTATTTTGATAACTTTTTATTTCAAAATTTCACTATTTCACTATTTCACTATTTTACATTTTTGACAATGTCTTTCTCACTACTTCAGTAGTTTATTATTTTTGTAATTTTCTGTTTGTTTATTTAACAATTTTAATAGGTGTACGTCAGTAAGAGTGTGATAAATGCTCATTACAGTATAATATATTTTTAATACATTTCTACAATTTCAATATGACATGTGATTAATTTTCTGTGTTAATAATTCGCAATTCTGGTAAACGTTCTTTTTAATATTCTTCCTCGAATATCCCCACCCCATTATCCCTTTGCTACATCTCCGTTCCATTATTTTCTACTGGCAACATTTCAAAACACTCCATCGTTATTTCACTACACCTTTATTTTTCTTATATACCTATATGTTTAGAAGCTCGTAACTCGTTTATTTTTCTTCTTTCCTATTATTTTATACTATCGCGTTCCACCATTTCCTTACATCTTATTTCTGCCATATTTGTTTTCGTTTCAGTGATACAGTTTCCCTTAATTGACCATTATTCCCATGGCGGTTCGTGTAATTTATCTATTACACTGTTCACGGTATCGATCGTTACTATTTTTACGCAACAATCGACACGACCCTCCAATAATTACTGACATTTTTTTAAGCGAAATTTCTTACAAGGTTGCAGTTTAAAGGATGCATATTGTATGAAATTTGAAGCCATCGATAAATATCAAGGTTCTTGTTAGCATTACTGTTTTATCGATTTACGGTACATCTATACCCTATTGTCTTTAAAAAAAGACACAGGGAAGTGCTGTTAAACGTCAAATTTTTAATCTTCCAATTCCTTCGATTTTTCTGGAAACTTTTGCACTTCGGTGAGGATATTTTTCATTTTATTCGCTGTTGCATAATTTTAGTAATTTCGCGGGGGCACTTTTTGAATTTTTTTGCAATCATAAATATATTTTAAGGTAAAACAAATAATCATTTGTTCATTTTAATTTTTTTGAATTCAATTCATTTTAATTTCTTTTAATTTTTGAATTTTTATATTTTGACAGTTTTCAGTGTTAACGTTGGAATTTTGTTAATTTAAAAATTTTACAATTTTAGGTGCTTGAAGCTCTTGATCTTTGTATTCAGAAACTGGAATTTTTTTTGAGATTTCTTACATAAAATGTTTTATTCTGAGGGTGAAATTCTTCAAACTGGTAGCTGTGAAATTTTTTAATTTTTTGAAGTTTGTGCTTGCAGAATTTTGGGGTTTTTACATTTGTTAATTTTGGTATTTAGAGACTAGAATTTTGGAATTTTTAAACTTTTGGATTTTGAGATTGAAATTTTTTCAATTTAGAACTGTTGAAGCTATTAAATTTTTGACTTTTAGAATTCTGCACTTTTTGAAGCTCTTAGTTTTGGATTTTTGAATTTTTGATATTTAGAATTCTGAAATTGTGGAAATTTTTAGTTTTGGGATTTAGGAAGCCGAATTTTGGAATTTTTAAACTTCTGGATTTTGAGGCTGAAATTTTTTCAATTTATACCTTTAAAACTTTGGAAGCTTTTGAATTTTTGAATTTTTTATATTTAGAATTCTGGAATTATGGAAACACTTAGTTTTAGGATTAGGGAGTCGAATTTTGGAATTTTTTAAATTTAATTTTAAAATTTTTCATTTTGTTTTTCAAAATTTCACAATTTTTCAAATGTCGCAGCTTTAATTTTAAATAAAGGAGTAGATAATACATCACCTCCACTCTAAAACAAAAATATTGTCCTCTACTCTTACTGAAATTCCCGGAGTTCCATTAACTACTCGTGTCACGATCTCTAAAAAAAAACAACCCTCTCCGGAAATCCCCCTCACCCTTTCTTCATCAGAATGCTAATTGACCGCGTGCATACGAGATTTCCATTAATTCTTGTCTCGTACCCAATCGATTACTAATGAAGCTTTTGTTGGCCCTGGGACAATGGTCGAATGAAAAGGGGATAGGGACGTCTTTTCCCTGCCTTGTTCAACGATATTCCCACCTAGTAATTTACCAGGGTTCTAGACTACTTACAATGCACGACTATTTCCGACAGCACCTACTGGTTGCAACGGAATGCCACACCCTTATTCGTGTACGTGTGTTCTCGTGTATATGTGTGTGTGTATATGTATGTGTGTACACTCGAAACGAATCGACAGAAATATCGTCGGTTACTTCGAGACAAGGTCGTCTTTCGTTCTTTGTTTGGTTCTTCTTGTTTGTTTTTTCTTTCTTCGATCTACTGAATTTTGTTAATTCTTTACATTCTTTAATTTCTTTAAGTTGCTAGATAATAGCAACTTAACCTACAATTTTCAGTACAGTTGCATCATTTATAGGTAGCTAATTATTCGTACAATGTGAAGACAGATGAAGAAAGTTAAAATGTTAGACACATTATCAGTGATGCCCGAATACGCAGATCATAATTAAAATTGAACCAAAAATTCAATTGCAGTGGAAATATGAATCTAGTTTATCACGTTCGAACTGTAGTGTGCGTCACGAGTGTGACACGTTATTGTAGGACAAGAGGTTAATTTACAAAATAGATCAAGTTTTCAATAAAATCGCAAAAGTACGTAGTACGTTAAAAATATACAGGGTGACTCACCACATTTTACCATCTAGACTTGCGTCATTATTATTATTCATAGCAAACAATGTTTTAGATGAAGTTGAATGGTTTTGAGAGAATTATAATGAAAACTACTGATTTTTTCACATAAATAGATTAATACTTTTTTATAAAGAATATGAAGGAGTATCAGCGGATGCAATAAAAAATATATGATTCCATTCAAAAAAACATTAATGAACTTCATATGTCCTTTACACGTCCATCTACAAAAAAAATATACCACCAGCATATGTCCCTCTCAAAACCATTCAACTTCATCTAAAACGTTGTTTGCTATGAGTAATAATAATGACGCAAATCAAGATGGCAAAATGTTGTGAGCCATCCTG